TGCTGCCCAGAGCAGCACTGATCAGACCCAAAGCTCAGCTTCTTCTCAGTCTCATTTTTCTACCTTTCCTGTAATTCGCCGTGTGCTGCCATGGCTCGAAGGAGACCAGGACTCACTGCAGAGGTTCTGGTAACGTCCCCTTCCCCTGTTCCCTACAACAAAGCAACACCCTGTCTCAAAAAACAAAACAAAACGGGCTGGGATTTAGCTCAGCGGCACCGTGCCTGCCTTGCAAGTGCAGGGTCGTGAGTTCGATCCCTGGTAACAAAAAGAGTAACAAAACAAAAATATTGCTAAATTGCCTAGATTGGGCTTGAATTTGACATTCTTTTGCTTCTGCCTCGAAGAGTGCCTGGAATCCCTTTTAAATACTGTAATGAGTTTGTTTTTGTTGTTATTTTTATGGCTGGAGATCAAACCCAGGGCCTTGTTATATTTTTAAGCAGTACCTTTCATTTTCCCCTGACATTTTATTATGAATATGAATATCCAAGCATATGAAAAGGAAAGAGTTGTAAGTGAACCCATGTACCCATCATCTAGATTATAAATCAACATTCTGCTATATCTGCAGAACACTTTTTTATGGGCTACATCATCACCCTTTGACCTGATGACATGTCCTACAGAGGACAGTGACACTAGGAGGTGCCTGGCTCCCATAGCTGTCCCTGGCTGTGCCAGCTGATTCATCCACACCTCCTGGGCGTCAGATATTTAACTCAGGTCTGAACAATATTTTGAATATCCTTAGTGATGAAAAGCTTACAGGTCCACACACAGAAGAATCAGTAAAATCGCGGGAAAACCACAGAACACATTTCTAACTCATGTCATTCAGAGAGGAAGAGTCTGGGGTTTCCAGGCCCTTTCACTCCATTTGCATCCCAGGTTAGTCACCACTTTCCGGGCCAAACTACCGGAGGTATTTCCTCCACCCACTTTCCAGTCCCCTCAACCTAGCTCAGGTTTAGAATATCGCTTATCTCAACTGGGCTTTCTCCCGCCTTTTCCTGGACCAAAGGCACCGGAGGAGGCCCAATTCAAACACCGACCTACCCACATCGCTGAAGTGCTCACCAAAGGGCTCACTGCTACCAGCCAAATCAAGAAGTCCAGTCTGATCTCTGCCTTTCCAAATGCAACTCATCTCCGAAACCGTGTTCCTACTCTTTAGCTTCCATCTTACATAACTGTGGAATGTTTTTCCAAATATACCCAGGGCTTTTAAGCTTATTTGCCTTTTTTTTTTTTTTTCGTACTGAGGACTGAACCTAAGGCGTTTGTGTTGAGCTACATCCTCAGCCCTTTTCATATTCTAAGACAGGGTCTCATTAAGTCACTAAGTGGCCTACGCTCAAACTCTCAATCCTCCTGCCTCAGCCTCCTACAGTGCTGGGATGACAGGCGTGCGCCATCATGGCTGGCTTTATTTGCTTTCTTCACATAAATCACCACTACCCCTGTTCCAAATACCACATGTATAAATGCTAGACCTCCAACCACAGCTCATCCCAATGCCAATTCTTCTAATAAACCTTCTACAGATCCCGGGCCTGATATAACCTCTACCCCCAATCCGTGGCATTGATCTACCTCGTAGAGCTTTATGGTCTCATTTCTCTTGTCAGCTTCTTCCTCCATTGCATAACCTCGTTGAGGAAAGGGAGGTGGTTGTAGTCACGGTGACCCTCTCCTGGTCAGGGCCTTACCGTGCTTAATTTCGTCCAAGACAACGCCCCCACCCACCCAAGGGTGCGGTTTCACAGACCCGCCTGCACTCGGGAAGCGGGCTTCCTCCGGACACACACGTGTCCCTGGCCACGGCCCGGGGACTGTCTCGGGATTCCCAGCCTGTGGGCGCTTCCATTCGAGCCAGCGGAGGCGGGCGCCGATTTATTTAAACCCGCTCGAAGGGAAATTTGTTACTTCGGCCCTCCCACAGACTCCACCTGAGAAAACAGTTTAAGTACCACCTTCCTTGTGAAGTGATCTCGCCGGGGGCCGGCATCTTCCTCCGCTTGAGCCGGGCCACACCGCGGATCCCCCCTTGCCCGCGCTGGAACTTGGTAGCGCCCGCCTCCTCAGCGGCGGCTCTCGCCGGTCGCGCTCCAGCATTCGGCAGCCCGCGGCGGGTCAAGCCACGCTGCGTTATCTGCTCCGGCCTCTCGTTGGGAAGGCTCCTGCCGGCGTCCGCCCGCCTAGGCCTCCCCGAGCCTCCGCTCCTCCTCCCACGCGCGAAGCGGCCGCGGCGGTGCTGCCCGGCATGTATCAGAGCCCGCGGCGGCTCTGCTCAGCCCTGCTGACGAGGG